ATAAGGGTTCCAGTCTCTCCACAACCTCGCCAGCATTTGTTGCTTGCTGTTCTGTTAAATTTTGCTATTCTGACTGGAGTGAGATGGTATCTCATAGCTGTCTTAATTTACATCTCTCTTAGAGCTAGGGATTTTGAACATTTCTTCATGTGCTTGTTAGCCATCTGAATGTCCTCTTCAGTGAAGTGTCTGTTCATATTCTGTGCCCATTTTTCTATTGGATTATTTACCTTTGTCTTGTTGTGGTGCTAAGTATTTTATAAGTTCTGGATATAAGTCCTTTATCTGATTATGTCATTACCAAATACTTTTTCCCAGTCAGTAGCTTCCCTTTTTTACGCTATTGGAGAAGTTTTTGGATGTGCATAGGGATTTGATTCTTAGAAGGTCCCATTCATCTACTTTATCTTCTCCTGGTTGTAGGTTTTTCAGGATACTTGGAAGACTGTTTATGCTGTGGATTAGGACTTCTAGCGTTGTTCCTAGCTTTTCTTTAATGAATTTATAGTCCTTAGTTTTAGTCCTAGGTCTTACCTCCTCTTTTGTGCTCCCCTTTCTTCCTTCTTCCCTTTCTAATCTCTTCACACACGTTTTATTAATTGTTTGGTTTTGGGTTTTTGTTTTGTTTTGTTTTTTGTTTTTAAATTTTATTTTATTTTTATTATTTGTGTGTGTGTGTGTGTGTACTGTCAAATCAGATCTGACTGCTACAGGAAGAGATTGCCCCTACTTTTCCATCAGAGCGTCTGGTGGATTCAAACCGCGTACCTCTGGGATTGCAGTGCAGCTTCTTGCCACTAGGCCACCAGAGCTCCCGCTATTTGGTTTTTTTGTTCATTCTTTGCCCTGTAGCTGTTGTTAGTGCTGTCTACAAACATTGCGTAGCTACCATATGTGAGAATAGAACTACCTCAAAGAGTTTCTTGACTTGTAACCTCTAAACACTGTGACACTGATGTGTCACTTGTTATAATGGTTACCCATGGTGGACAGTGTTTGGTGGAGCTCCCCGATTAAAACAAGCTTGGAAGCAGGAGTGGGATCCACTTCCAAAATAGCTTGCCTCCGGAAACTCTATGAACATGGAGAAACGACCAAAGTTATACAAGTGTTCAGGTCTTTCGTTTATAGGGTTGCTATGAGTCGTCTAAGACTCAAGAGTACTTAACAACAACAACTTTTACCAGAGCAGATCAGCAGGTCATTGTCCTGTGGAGCCACTATTGTCGGCTCTAACAGTTCAATTAGCAGCCAAGAGCTTAACCACTGGGACATCAGGACTAGAGTAACTGATGCCTTCTGTATTATTAGAGTTCTCAGTTGGGATATTTGCATAGAAAAAGCCCACTGTTTGTGGATTTTGGATTGTCCTGAATCCTCACCTATTTAAAAATTATTTTGAGTAGGAATTTATCTGTTCTCTGCTTTGAACTTGTGGGCAATAGAGAATTCCTTAAAGAATATATGCCTCATCACTCATATGGAGGCTCTTGGTGGATTCTGCTTTGGAAAAATAAGAACTTGTTTTTTAGTGCTTATTGAGATGAGGGCTGAGTTAAATTTCCTTCTGCAAAGGAGGAAAGAAGGAGTAGATCTCTTAAGAAAATCGACTGGGGCAGTGGTAACAGGGGTGATGGGAAGCCCGTAGAGGAGGCTGCAGAAGGTTGATGGAGCCTGGAGAGTATTCTCTTTTTACACAGAGATAGCACAAAGACATGAGTTCAGAGGACAACTTCTTAGTCTGACGCCCCTTAACCTTCCATTCTCTCCCTCCCTTTTCTGAGTCCAACCCTTTCTTTGTAGGATATCTACAGCCACACTATTCCTCTTTCTTGCCCAGGGTTTCTTGTGGCCCTCTCTTTGTTCAGATTTCCTGCACAGACTTGTCAAAAGTATATACCATCATTTGACTAACTGGTTAATCTTTGGCTTACCAAAATATGGTCAACTGTGGCCAGTGTACTGTTGTTGATGTTATAGGTGCCATCAAGTTGACTCTAACTAATAGAGACCCTGTGAACCACAGACTGGAAGTTTCTTATCTTATGACCTGCTCGTTATACCCACCATGCTCAAGTAAATTACTGCAGTCACTGTGTCAGTCTGTCGTATTGAGGGTCATTCTTTTTTCACAGATTCTCTACTTTTCTCTGCTTGATGTCTTCTTCCAAGGATTGGGCCCTCCTGACAATATGCCCAAAGAATGTATATTGAGTTTCACCCTTCTCAATGTAAACTTCTGAACCTATGTCTGCTTGACAGTCTACTGCAGTTAATGGTATTTTTTAAAAAGAATAACATCTAAATGTTTTGCACAGACGGATTAAGAAAACTGACAGAAATACATGTGTAACATAGACATCTGTATACATATTCATGCAATATGTGTACCTATACATTAACACACATAAACACATATATAGATTAACACATGTATGCACACATGTTATGTATATTATGAATGTATTATTTAAATGGAACCTAGATATCCATTAAATAATATGAAATTTATTATTTGAGGCATACAAATAAATAGAACATCACATTTTTTCCAATATTTGTACAATGTAGTAGATGCCTTTAAACAGTAAATATTTCTGCTAATCAGGAAATTGAATTAAGTGCCTTCTTAATGGCAGATTAGTATAAGTTTGCTAGTGCTGTATTTTGGTGTCCTTTGGAAAAATCATACTATCAGCCAGTGTTAAAGAGGAAAGCTCCAAATCAGCACAACGGCTAAATGTGCCCTGTGCAACAATTCAAAATTTCTTGATCCTAACTGTCTTCTCCCTGGCACCCCTAGCCCTTTCTGTTTCTTTGAGATCTCTTATAATGAAAATGTAAAGTCAGGGAAAATGGCCTCAAAGGGCATGAGGAGCTTAGTCTACTCCCTCGATGTTGAGGTCAGCCGCCCTAGGCGGCTGGGGGCCTGCTGAAGACCCTAGTGGCAGCCCTCCAGCTTCTAATGGTGGGGGCTGTGTACTGGCCTTACATTCCGGTACTCCAGCGAAAACTCCCTCACCTGCTGTGAGTGCTGGACCTTTTGTCTCCATTACTGGTGGGGCGTCTTGGGCAGGAGGTTGGAGGGTTTGACCGGAAGTTTCTCCCTCTGACTTCTGGGGTTGCTGATCAAACTCTGCCCTAGCAGGAAGGCCCTCACAACAGGTCTCTGCTCCCAACCCCCCTTGAGGACCAATGGTTTTGGGGAGTTCTGCCTCACTGTCTCCTTCAGCCTGGGCCTGGGGAGCTGGGGAAGGCAGGGAATTCTTTGGTTCTAATGAAGGGAACAGAGAGGGTTGTTCTGGTTCCTCGGTGACTGTGTCAGTGCCTTCTTGCAACCTGCTTGGTTCTGGTTGGGTTTCTCTGGCTTGGTCCAGAGCAGACTCTTGATGGTGAATTACCATGAAGGCTGCCGCCAGGTTTTTCACAGCCTCGTGGACACTCTTGGCCTCCTCTGTATTGACCTCTTCATGCAAAGACACACTTGGATCTGGCTCCTCATCTGAGGGCTGGTGACTCTGGTCTTCCTTTTCAGGCATTTTTGCTTCTCTTATTTTTTTATAGAGTTCATTTCTCTCTTCTTGTAATGCTCGACAGAGATTCTCCAGTCTCCCAATTTTCATCACGAAGCACTCGTATTCTTTCGCTCTCAGGGCTTTCTGTGATTAGAAAACAAACGCACACATAAAACAGCATGAAGAACGCAATTGTGGATCTTGAGATCATATGCACAGAGATTTATCTACAGGACTTTATCTCTGGATCTCAGCCACAGAGTGATAGCTGAATACTTTTGGTAAAGACATACTTCTCATTTTTTAATTATTTGCTAGACTACAAGAATATTCTTATCATTGTCCCTTTTAATCACCATCCTTCTCTTGTGGTGCCTAAGCGTTGTAATAGTTAAGTTCTAAAGTACTTGCCAAAAGGTTAATGGTTGGAAGCCACCCAGAAGTGCCTCAGAAGGTAGGCCTGGCAATCTGCTCCTGAGGGGTCATAGCTTTGGAACCCTGTGGAGCCCAATGCTACTCTGTACCTATGGGATCACGGTGAATCAGAGTTAACTTGATAGAAACTAACAACAGCATCATATTTAAAAAAAAAATAGAGAGGACAAGGCTCCCTTATATTTTAGCTGATAGTCCCTAAAATATTACAGTAGGACATGTTCTTCTTGTAAGACTTCACAGAGGTGAGCAAAGGCAAGTGGCAAAATGACTAAGATAGGCCTGGGACTTGATGTGTAGCCAGGCCTTATCTGCTGTTATATAGATAAGCTGCTACCTACTTGTGCCAGCAAGCATTTGCATTTATGTCTTGCTGAATAGTAATCATGTCTCTTTGGCATTGCTTGCAATTTGAGATAAATTGTTAGAATGGTAATTATAACTAAAGAAACTCACCCCACATGTAATCCATGCTGCTGGCTGCTCTGACTGTTTGAATTGACTTCTTTTCTCTAGAAATAGTGCTGTGTGTTGATGTCTAAAACTGGTCTTCCTCCTCCTTTTATTCCCTGACCACTCTACCTCTATGCTGTTCTGTGTCCCATAAAAACATTTCAGATTCTCTTCAATTGCTTACACGGAGGGACTCTCAGAAGCACAGTCTATTCAGTGTCTGGCATAATATCAGTATTTCTTGCTTGTTGGGAGAACTGAAAAATACATCCCTAGATCTGTCTATAAAAAAAGCATATGGTTTGGGTGCTGGTGTTCTGTTTGTATGTTCAAGTCCATTTCATTATTCTGTATCTACTGTATTTTCTGATGCAGGGAAATTCAAAGACAAATAAGGTATTCTCTCTACCTTCACAGAATGCATAGGTCAGTGGGGGTGATGCTACTTTGGGGCATGCTTTTAGTAAGCACAGCCTGTGAGTTGGGGTCCCCAAGGAGGTTATTATGAGTTTGGGCTAGTTTCTAAACTATCTTTGCTCTTATTAATGTTATTATAATTTTTATACTGATTTATTTACAAAGTTCAAATGCATTGTTATTAGAATTTTGTATGTTACATCCCAGAAAAAACATGATTTGCTTTCAGATCCAATCATTTGCACTATGATCATTCTTTTCTGTGAATATTTTGGCTTCTCCCCATCTCCTTCACTTTCCAAGGCTGGCGAGTTGATCCCACCTCATGATGAATAGAGGTATGTGGGGGTGAGTGGGGGGCAGGCAAGTCAATCCATGGGAAGCCTTTGCTCACCTCTTCAATCATGTCCAACAGGGCTTTGTTGCAGTTCTCAAATCGGGCTTTCCATGTGGCTGTGTCCTTTTCCAGCTTCTTCATTTTCTTGGTTGTCTACAGAAATGGAAGTTATTTAAGGTTAATCCTGAAGCATTAATATATCAAAGAAGTTATTAGCTGCACATGAGACCTCAAGAAAAGTCCCTTTGTTACTAGATGCTGAAGCAAACAAATGTTCGATGTCAAGGAATGATGAAGGGGAGAGAGTCATGATTTATTCTGACTAAATCTTCTAGGTCAGTGGTGAAGGCTTACTTGCACTAGAAACAGTTCAGGAAGGTAAAACAACAACAACAACAACAACAAAAACAAACAAAAAACCATAACAACAACCATTTACAAAGGGGTGTAAAGTTTTGCTAGTTTTCTTTTTTTTTTTAAAAAAAAACAACCCCAAACAATTCTCATTACCAAGTCCCAAGAATAATTACTTTATTGAGGAGGAAATTATCAGTAAGAAAAATTGGTATGGTTATGATGCCACTCAAATATTGATTTGGGCACATTTGAGAAGTAATCACAGGCAAACAACCTTCTATGCTTCTAGCTCTTTCTTTGGGTAGAAAGCTATATAGCATTCACTGACTGAGTCTCTGGCCACAATTCTACAGGAAGATTCTTTATTCATCCCGACTTTAAAATGGGGCAATTGAGCCTCAGGGAGGTGCAGTAGGTTTCACTTGTGTTGACAGAAGTATGGTGCTGGAAATTTTTATCTATTTAATGTAACATTTGTCACCTTACCTTAGACTGGGGGGTGATAGGAAATAAAATACAGCACGGAGACAGGGCCCTCAGAGCCAATGTCTAGTGTTAGGTCAGAAAACTAGACATGCCCATAATCAGGTGCAATGAACACTTAGTTCCTGTTAAGTTGCTTTCCTGGCAGAACCTGCCCAAAGGGATCCCCTAAGCATGTGCAGCTCCCTATCCTTTGACCGCTATATGACCTTCCTCTAGAGGCAGCAGAGAGCCTTCAGTGGGAGCAAGACGCCTCTTGGTGCCAACTCAGCCTGGGATGTGCACCATCCCATAAGAAGTGATATCTCAGTTGCAAAAGGACAAATATTGCAAGGTGCCACTGCTATAAAATGGGACTGATATCAGGGTGGGGGTAAGACTGAGAAAAACTGGATAAATTGTGTATACTGCACTGAAACAGATGAGGGACTGAATAATTTAAAAGCGATGTATGATAAATATTGCGACTAAACTTCAGAGACACTGATCCCAACATAAGGAACTACCATCAGCTG